TTAAATATAACACATTATATATATGAGCATAAAACATGTAGATCATTCTTAAAACACCAACTGAGAGCCACTAATTCAGGCGATGCTGCTAAAATAGGGAGGGAGAAGTAATGATTTAGACGGGAGTAAAAGAGTATAGTAAAAGATACACATTTAAATTGAAAAATGAAATAATTTAGAACTGTACATAGAGACAAGGAAGATGGAAAGAAGGATAGAGGAAAGAAAGAAAAATGTGTGAACGTTGTGGGGGTCTGTTAGCTGAGTTTGAGGTCGAGCAGAGAGCCAGCTCGTTCTTCTGGATCTTTCCGTCTCCGTTGATGTCGCAGTGACCCATCAGAGCTTTCCTGAACTTGTCCAGGTCTGTGCCACTGATGCTGGGCTGGAGGAGAGGGTCGGGTGGAAGAGGTAGAGGTCAGAAGTCTCCTGATGAATGACACTGACATCTGATCAATAACATTGTGTATCAGCTCTGTAGCCTATATAAGGGAATGTAAGGGCACCTTCACCAGCTCCATCATATCTTTGACAAATCCATCCACAGGGCCCTCCAGCTCACCCTTCTTACTCTATAGAAGGAGGCATACTTTTTAATTCTCTCAGTGTTGCAATCTGTTTTTGATTAACAGTTACACACATGCCTAACAGGACCTATACACATCAGGAATGAAATACACAAACATATGCATTATATGACAATCAATTCAGCAGCATGGTATAAAGCATAAACTGCAATGTTTCTGAAGATGTTGTTTTAGGTGATACAAGTTTGTCATGTGTAGTCCAATAAACCTCATTAGGAACCACAGAGTCTGACACTTTGAAATAATATTGGACACTCATCCTTGAAAGTTCTCATAGCCTTTAAGTCATCAAACTTTCAAATGTTAAGTGAAGAACATTCTTAGTCAATTCTTTTAAACTTGCTGGTCAATACATATATTTGCATACACATTATTGTGAGCTGCTGTTCACAATGTTATTGTACCTAGCCAGGAAAACAAGCCCCTGAAGTTCAAAGGAAACAAGCAAGTGGTTGTGGACATGTTCAGGAAGTAAGGGTGCAGCACTGTCTACAGCACAGCACACAAGTAAAGTTTCAAATAACATCCAAAGAGAGTGTGTTCCAAGTATTTTATTAAATTCAAAGTTGATGCCAGTTCAGACGGCTTCCAGGCAAGTTCAGGAACCTGAGAACAGAAAATACAATTTATAACATTTGCAAAGCATTTCCCTTACTTCATTGTAGCAATCTTTAAGTTAAACCAACTTACAGTTAGGAAGGTCAATGATGTATGTTCTACACTGGCACCAGTTGCTGCTGTCACCTGGGCTGGTTCAAGAATGTTATTGGAATTTCTCTCAAACTTCTTGGGTCAACATTCAAGTGCGAGTTTGAGTCAGTGGGCTGCACCTTAGAGCCAGAAGCAACACTTCGTTGGGAAGTAAAATCCCACATGCCAGCTTTACTTTGGAGCACCCCTTGCAGGGGTTCGGCCTGCTGAGGTTTGGGCTGCTGAGGGTTTGAAGGGTAGGCGGGCTGGTAGGGCTTGGCCTGCTGAGGATTTGACCGGTAGGCAGGCTGGTGGGGTTTGGGCCAGTACCTAGACTGCAGGGGACTTGAAGGGTTGGTAGCCCGCTGGGGATTCAAAGGGTATGCAGGCTGGTAGGGCTTGGCCTGTTGGGGATTGGAGGGTAGGACGCTGCTGGGGTTTGGCCGGTAC